GTCCTCTTTTGGAAGACCAAACAAAGTAGTTTCACTACGAAACACAGCGTCTTCACGACATGGCTGCGGCAGCAACAATACTACAGCGAGAATAAAAGTTACGCCTTCTTTCTTTGCGTGAACATTTGGGCGGCGTTATGCAAATCTTCCCACATAGTGACGTAGATATGTGGGGGCGTGTTAGAACGAGCCGTTTTAGGTAGGCGTGGTTAACTCTTAACTTTTATAAAGAATATCTCTTTGGATTTGAGACTTTAGTCTTTGCAACTTTACAGATCTTCTTTATGCACCAAGAGCTTGTAACACTCCAAAGAGAAAGGAAACATTGAAATCGCATCATATGACCCCTTTAAGCAACTTAATTATAATTGGTTTATAAGCATTATTTTAAACATTATGCACTTTTTTTCGCAGATAGTCATGTTATCTTATGCTTTGAATAAACGTGCATGTAATATTTTGCTCGATGCGCCCTCTTGTGGCCTCAGGAGAGAAGCCAAAAGCTTTTCTTCACCCTAACTGAAATTATGCATTTTAAATTAGAATATAATTCGAATTTTGATAATATTTAAGTACAAAATTCGAATTTAGTTTTTCAGCCATTTTGACAGCCCTAGCACACACTCTTGCACACTCTCACACACACTCACTCCTGCTCTCTCACACACACACACACACACACACACACACTCTTGCACACTCACACACTTATCACACACTCACTCATGCTCACATACACACACTCACTCTTGCACACTCTCACTCTCAGATACTCGCACATATTCACTCGTTCGCACACTCACTCTTGTGCACACACACACACACACACTCGCTCGCACACACTCACTCACTCACTCACTTACTCAATCACTCACTCACACACATTCATTCTTGCACACACACTCACACATTCATTTTCGTTCGCTCACACCCACTCACTCTCGCTCACTTACACTCACTCACTCTCACACACATTCATTCTTGCGCACTCACTCTTGAACAGTCTCACTCTCGCTCACACACTCGCACACATTCACTCTCGTTCGCACACTCTCACACACTCTTGCTTTCTCATACACACACTCACTCTTGCACACTTAGTACATACTCACTTTCGCGCACACACACACACACACACACATACTCGAGGAGCCACAACACATGACTGATGTGTGGTTGTGTTTCAGACTGTGAGTATCTGATCAGACACATGTTGATTCTGGAACCCAGTCGACGGCTTTCAATGGAGCAGATCTGCAAGAACAAGTGGATGAGACAAGGAGACCCCGACCCCGAGTTTGACAGAGTCAGTCACACACACAAGCACAAAAACACACACTACATACACTTGATGTTTGCAGTTCTTAGACCTAAAACAGTTTTTCGATGTGTAGAATTATTGCTGATTTACCTGTGTCTCTGTCAGCTGATAGCAGAATGTGAGCAGGTGAAGGTGGAGAGAGAAACGGAGTTAATTAATGAGCAGGTGCTGATGGCCATGTCAGAAATGGGCTTCGACCGCGAGCGGACCTTACAGGTGACACACACCCACACACACACTCACACTCACACACACTCACACTCACACTCACACACACACACACACACACACACACATACACACACACCTCCTTCATTCAGATGAGTTCTCCTGGAACATTCACATGGTTGTGTTTCTCCTCTCAGTCTCTGCACACGGATGCCTATGATCACTACAGCGCCACCTACAGTTTGCTGTCTGACAAACTCAAGCGGCACAAGAACCTGTGTGTGGCTCCACCCACGCCCCGCCCCCTCTACCCGCTCAACACCATGCAGGTGTGTGCCGTTACCGTTAGCAACCTTTGATTCCTGATGAGAGGAATATGCATGAGCTCTGGAGTGCCTCATTTACATACTGTATGAAAGCAGAGCCGTGGGCTTCTGCAGAACTAATGATGATTTTAGAGGAAGGGGATCGTGGGGTTGTGAGAGGATTCTGGTCATGTGATGCAGTATTTCTCAGCCTTCTGATGGTCATTATCTTTCTGTATTTGCTCTGAAATCACTTACAAAAGGGATTATTTTCGGTCAGAGCAGCCAGAATTTGTATCAGATTTAAAATGTTAAATTCAAAACGAAAAGACTAAAACTAGATGAAAATCTAGTTTATAATGATCAAGGCATCAATGATCAAAATTTCATTACTTGAAATAAAAAATAAATATTAACAGAAATGAATTTAAGGTTTATATATTTTATTTTATTTCAGCTAGTTCCCAAAGCAACCTAAATAGTTAACTAAATAAACTAAAACTTAAAAACTATATAGACATATTTTGAGTCCATCAGTGTATTTGACCAGCGTGGAGCTGATGGTTGATCTGCTTCATCACGTGTGTGTGTGTGTGTGTGTGTGTGTGTGTCCTGCAGGATCAGAGTAGTGCTGTCAGTATGACGGTACCGCAGGTTCAGCTCATAAACCCCGAGAATCAGATCGTCGAGGTGAGCGTGACACTCCTTTCAGCTCTCTGCTCTCACAATCAGTGAGAATAAATCATAAATCAAATGGACTGATATACAGTGGATGAGTGTGAGGATGCAGGATGGATTGTTTTTGACCGTGTGTGTGTTTCAGACGGACGGGACGATGGCTCTGGACAGTGATGAGGGAGAAGAGCCCAGTCCAGAAGCGATGGCCCGATACCTGTCCATGAGACGCCACACTGTGGGCGTTCCCGACCCCAGGTACCACACATCCCAGCCAGTGCCTAAAGCCCCTCCCTATTCACTAAACCACTCCTACCTAGCACAAGTCCCACACAGTTTACTTAAAACCTCTCCTAGTTGACTCGAAGTCCCTCCCAGATCACACTAAACTCCTCCCATCTAACTAAAGTCCCTCCCAGTTCACACTAAACTCCTCCTACCCAACTCAAGTCCCTCCCAGTTCACACTAAACTCCTCCCATCTAATGCGAACCCCTTCTGTACACTCTAAACCCCTTCTAACTAAATCCAGCACCTTCCACCTACCTTAAGTCCCTCCCATTTCAGTGAAAACCGATAGTTCATTCTGAACCCCTCACACTTAACTCGAGTCCCTCCAAATTAAGCTCCTCCCACCTAACACAAAACCCTACCATTTCACTATAAACTCCTCCCAACTATCTCAAGTCCCTCCCATTTCACTCGAAACCCTGGTTCATTCTGAACCCCTCAAACTAATAGGAGTGTTCTACTTGAAGCGGCGCTGAGCAGAGTGTGTCGGAGTGTGACGGCAAGGTTTCGCGGGAGCGTTTCGAGGGCTTATGGAGCTGTCTGCTCTCTATAGCTCTCGCGGTACTTTGATGTCACACACTGATCGGTGTGAGCAGCGCCGCTTCAAGTCGAACACACCTAAAGTCACTCCAAATTCACTCTAAACTCCTCCCACCTGACTTAGGCTCCTCCCACCCAAACGAAGTTTCTCCCAGTTCACTCTAGACCCATCCTGCCTTCCTCCAGCACTGACGTTGTATGTGTTTGTCAGGGCTGAGATTCAGGAGGATCTTCAGAAACTGGCCCCTGGGTTTCTGCGTGTGGCCCCTCAGCCGCCCTTCCCGCCGCTGGTTCCCACCATGGCGCAGATGCATCTGATGCCGACCCCGAACCTGCAGCCCACGCAGCAGCTGGAGTACAAGGTAAAACACACACATGCACATATATGCTCGGACACCTGCTGATGCTGACGCTGAGATCACCTGATGTCTGTCGTGTGTCGTGTGCAGGAACAGTCTCTCCTGCAGCCTCCCACCCTGCAGCTGCTGAATGGCATGGGTCCTCTGGGCCGCCGGGCATCTGACGGCGGAGCCAACATTCAGCTTCACGCGCAGCAGCTGTTGAAGAGGCCACGTGGTCAGTCGCCGCTGGTCACCAGCCCGGTGAGACAATCCCACAATCCTCCTGTTTCTCACAGCTGAGCATGATGTACTGCTTTATTGATCATAGGTGACATTCATCAGCACAGTGACGTTACCGCTGAGTTCAGGATCTGGAGTAGAGTACATTCATTCGATTCTGATTCACAAGCTATCAGGTGCAGTACATGTCAAACAATCTGTCAACTAATACTTTAAACTGCACAGGGAGCCCTGTCAGTTCATACAGTAACATGAATAATGTAGTAGTCCAAAATATGATGTTTCATTGCTATTTTAGAGTTGTTGAGAGAATTGTAAACACATCTAAATTGCACTATAAGGCCATTTTTACGTCAACTTCGTAATGATTTAATTGTTTCTGCTCCAGTTTGTTGAAATAAACATTTAAACTGTTTCATGTCAGATTTATTCAAACGTACATTAAATAAAGAACACTAGGTTAAGCACAATATAATACATATGTAATATAGTGATCAAAATGCTCCTCTCTTTTTTCTAGTTTATGGTCATTGAATGTGTTTTCTGAGGTAAATGTGACGTTACGTGACTTTTGTTCTTCTCTAGCTGTTTTACTGACGTGTTTTCGCGGTTGAATCACTGATTGAGCGATCCCATGATTCATGAAAGTTCATTCATGTTTAATGTTGTAACTAGTAGGAAAGAGGAAGAGACGATCGCTTCACTACAGCATCTGTCAGCACACATTAAAGAGCAGCAAAACCACATTAATTATTGAATTTAGTGATAAAACTGATCGAATTTGAAAGCTCAGACTTTGTTTCATATCATAAATAACAAAACACAAAGATTATTGTGATTTCAGATTTCAGTGAAGGTAAAAGATCAAACTTGTGATTTAAGAATCAATATGATTTCATCAGAATGAAGATGGAATAAATCCAGAAAGCGAATGGTGAGGTCTGATGGTGTGCTCTGTGATGGATGAAGCGGAGTGTGAGCTCTGACGCGTGTTTCTGTGTGTTTGTCAGCATCCGATCCCGGCCGTGACTCCGGTGGATGAGGAGGGATCTGACGCCGAGCCGGATCCGGAGGCCGTTCAGAGGTACGGCAGTGTGTTTGCATCCGCTGGTGTTTCCTGATCCGACTCCAGCACAGACTCCTGTTCAGACGCACACTCGGGTGTTCGAGGAGCGTGTTGGAGCGTGTGTGTGTGTGAATTGTGAATGTGTGTGTGAGAGAGTGAGAGTGTGTGTGTGTGTGTGTGTGAGAGAGTGTATGTGAGAGAGAGAGTGTATGTGTGAGAGAGAGAGAGAGTGTGTGTGTGAGAGTGTGAATGTGTGTGTGAGAGAGTGTATGTGAGAGAGAGAGTGTATGTGTGAGAGAGAGAGAGAGTGTGTGTGTGAGAGTGTGAATGTGTGTGTGAGAGAGTGTATGTGAGAGAGAGAGTGTATGTGTGAGAGAGAGAGAGAGTGTGTGTGTGAGAGTGTGAATGTGTGTGTGAGAGAGTGTATGTGAGAGAGAGAGTGTATGTGTGAGAGAGAGAGAGAGTGTGTGTGTGAGAGTGTGAATGTGTGTGTGAGAGAGT